AGTAGCTACAACCCAACTGCATATCAGGAGCGTTATGAAAGAGCACGTAACCAGGAGAAACACAGCCACTTGTAAGATAGTTATAGGCTTCTAAAACTTTGTAAGATTTCATTTGTAAAATATTTTAGTAGTTTTTCGCCAAAACCAAATACTTTATGTTGTCACTAAATTCTACTTTAGGCCACAACACTTGATCTATAACCAAGATGTTGCCTTCGTATGGATCGACACCTTGACATAATGAAACTTTCTCTTCATATAAAACAGCATCTCGTCCTGTCAGAATGCGAGAATGGCCGTCAGGAAAGAATTTTTTAAACTTTGTTTATAATATAAAAATACTGTAGTTCTATTAAATTTAAATAGGAAAAACAACGCTGTTAACCTGTCAAATAACAAACCACGTGCAAGCTAAGCGTAAGCTAGACTACATATATGATAAAGGGGCGGAGCCAACGTACGTTTTATCATGTGACATGCGATCTAAAACCTCTCTATTGGTGTGATGCCATATGGTCCGTTCTCTCGCTCTCTACTAAAGTGAACTGCTATGTTTCGTGTTTTATGTATTGATTAAATGTTGTTATTGATTGTTTTTCGTGCTTTGTGTGATTACTGTTAAATGTCACGTTTATTTGAGTTAGAAATATTAAAAGATTTGTAAGAAATGGTTGTAAGAAATTATCTGTAAAAAATTCGGATGCTAATTTTATGACAAAGACGTGGTCAAAAATAACCAAAATGATTTAAGATGATGGTTTTACAATAGTTGCAAAATTGATAAGCAATAATCAAATGAATACAAGGTTATTTAAATTTTTTAAAAAATGCATCCACTTGAAAATGTAAATTTAATAGATGAAATTAACTTGAATAGTTGTCAGCAACAAGTTTTACCTATTGAAAATCAACAGAAGTAAATGTAATCCTATATTTTTAATTGTCGATGTACGTTCATGTGTAATGTTTGAAACAATTGGATATACAAAAAAAAAAAAAAAAAAACAGAGAGAGAGAGAGAGAGAGAGAGAGAGAGAGAGATGCGATTTATTTTACGTGTAACATACATCAATCTGTTTCCTCCCTGGGCTAATGTGTTCCTGAAACGAGAGAATTAACTTTTGGTACTGTACATTCTATATTCTGTAGGAGGGGGTGTAAAGTGACTTTTTCCCACCCTATACAATTTCTAAATAATCGTCTGTTTATGCAACAATTTAAATTAAAATTGTTATAAAAATGAAATACAGTGGAACCTCGCATAACGAGCAAAACAAATTTGTAAAAGACGACTCGCTTAACGAGCGACGTTTCGCATAACGAATGTCGAGAAGGGATTCCCAGATTGTGCGCATGCTCCATCAGTCTGTTTAGCATTCGTTCCGCAAGCATCGTAGTGTCGCTTGTGGTCACACATTTTTCCAAACTTGTGTTCACACATATTACATATAAACATCAACAACCATAGCCCGTTATATAATAAACACGCCAAACGATATGCCAAATTCTTAGGCTATGTGAAGGCTATAATTAAATATTACAAATTGTTTAATTTGACTAGAGGTAAGCAGTTATGCTACCATCTCGTATTAAATTTAATGACTAATTCCAGAAATAATTAAATTAAAAATTAATTATTTATAATTATTAAATTTAATACGAAATGGCAGCATAACTGCCTACGGTCTAGTCTAATTAATGTAGTCATAGCCCAAGAATTTGGCATATCGTTTGGCATGTTTATCAGACATACTATCTGTAATAATTTTTTTCTTCCCTTTATTCAAAGAAAATTAAAGAAAAGAAAAGAAAAAAATTATACATAAAATATTTAAGTATTGTTTTCGGTGTGGAACGCGTTATCGTATTTTACATTAATTTATATGGGAAAATTGTTTCGCTTAACGAGTGTTTCGCATTACGAGTAAGATTCTGGAACGAATTATGCTCGTAAGCGAGGTTCCACTGTATCTTTATAAATAAAAATTTTTGAGGCTTAGCTGAGATAACCCACGGTAGATATGGAATAAACGCTTTCTTATTGTCCACAGTGTAAAAAGAGCCAAAAATGGAAAAAAAAAACTATACAGAATCAGGGCTTTGAGAAGGAACTCGGATTATGGCTCCAGTTTCACTGCAGGCGAATCTTCTAGCTCCTGCTCCAGCTAAACATTTAATTTTAACTGCAATTGTTAGAGGCAAGAGTACGTTATTCAAGCCACTTAATTTTACTAATTTACTTATAATCTGTTTCTATTGCTGTACATAAATTTTACATAAACAATAGAAATAGATATTTTGATTACATATGTAATTTTAGCATTTTTCTCAGATATATCAAACTGTAATTAAAGGGGAGGAAGTTATAGAAAAAAGAATGAGATACGAATGACAATTAACTAGTAACTATTCACCAGTTATTTGCCATGATTACATCTGCACCTGATTGAAAAGTATTTCAGACTATTTTTATAATTGTCAGCTTATATTAGAAACGTTATAATTTTACAATGTTAATTTTTTAGTACTGTTATAATTATTTTTTAAGAGCAAATAAAATGTTGTCTATAATAATATATTATTATTAATTACAGTTGATATAAAGTAATTTTATTTAATTATGAAAAATTAAACATGATATGTCAGGAATGTAAATTAGAGAACTTTCGGTTAGATTCGTAAAATTTTTAAATGTTTGGAAAGTAAAATAGCTCAAAACTTTCCAGTAAATAGCTGAAGAAATTAACACCTCCTCCTAATTAAGCCTCCTTCAAAAAAACAGATCTGGAGAAAGCCAAGAATTTTCTAAAGAATATATGGTTTCGGGTTCTGGTTTCATCTTCAGCATTCATTCATCTCATTCTGTACAGAATTAAATACCGGTATTCAAAAATATAATATTGAAAATTTGAAATAGCCGAAAATTACATAATTTCTGCAGTAAATTATGAAAATAAATAAAACGATGTGATTAATTTTTGTAGTTTGGAAAGTAGATATATTGTTTATTATTATTCTTTTATTAAAACTATAAAATATTCCATATCCAAAAATATACCAAGATACATCTACATTATATTGTTTTCAATTTTGTATGATTAGTGTATTGATACAGAAATCATCTTCTTTTATTATTATATTTTCCAAATAATTTAAGGTATCGACAATATATCAATAGATTTGTTTCAGAACTATCTCTCTTGTTTATATAATTATACCAAAAATTTAAAACAGTTTATTGTCTACATTTATAAAAGAAACTGAAATAATTCATATAACAAAAGAAAATGAAAATGCAAAGTTACACGCAAATGTGCATGTAGTTCAAATATATACTAGATGCAAGAAGAATGCCTACAATATACAATGCATAGACTATTATATAAATCTTTTTATAACTAATATAGAGAAGCGATGCATTCTATTGTAAATAACTATCTGCAAATGTAAATTCGTATGATATTAGATATATGCCACCTATAAATACAAGAAATCCAACATTTTTAATGTAAAATTAATATTTATTATTTAATAAAAACAGGACTTAACATTCTATTTAGTTTATTTGCTGTTTAGAATGTGCGATTTTCCAAGCACAATTAAATTAATTCTCGGATTTAATATTCTTCGTGGTTTCTTCTCTTTATATATTTTAATTACTTTTTCAGTTTCAGTATTGCAATTCCGTTTCAATTAATAAATTAATTTAATGTATGAGAATAAAAAAAACGTAATCGATCCTATCAAGAGTCACTGTAGACCATCACGTGATGGTAGATATAAATGCTCGTTGGATTCATTTTCAAAAGATAAACAATAAACTTCAACTCGTGCAACTTCGTCGCTCGTCTTGCGATTTCTGTATTTCACGTTATACGGCAAAATATACGCAAAAATTGTCTGGTGTCATCCAGACTTTAATAATATTCTAGGTAAGCTTTCTTATATAATTTCAAAGATTTTTGTCGATGTGTTTATGGACATATTACGGACTTTTTTAACAGTTTTTCGTGGGATTAAAGGAAGATATACGCTAGAAGTAATATCCCTTTTTCCCAATTTATTTATATGAAACATACATAATAATCATGCTAATAATAATATAATATTTTTAAATAATTACAGCAATTGTAATTTATCTTAATAATGGTACCGATTGACTTTATTTATGTGATTTTGTTATATTCCAATAGACGTGAATGTGAATTCAGTAAGTATGATAATTTTTATTAAATATAATTAAATATAATAGACTCCCTTGAATTAATTATATTTTATACTTGGCATTGCAATATAGAAGCTGAACATATTCTGCCTAAACTATACAATACAGGATGGAAGATGAAGATCTACGATGAACAGCTAGAAGAATGCAAAATAAATCTGCAGTTTCAAGATTATAAAAATGACACTTTAGAAAATTTATCTATCTATAATTCTACTCAAATTAATATTTATAAAAATGATTTTTCTTTTGTGAGTTTGTTTAAATTATATCTCTTATTATTATTATTATTTTTCTAAAAATTCAAAATTGATCGTTAATATATTATCCATAAATTCTGAATTTTTAAATATATAATTTATTATTGAGCCCAAAAAATAAAAAGAAAGAAAGAAAAGAGATCTGTAGCTGGAGCCAAAAATTTTCTAAAGAATATTTGGCTCCAGAGTCTCTAGGAAAAACTCTGTAGTCTGTAAAGAATTAAATATTCAAAATATAAAATTGAAAATAAGAAATAATATAAAATATTTTCTACTATTATTTCTACATAATTTTTCTGAGCCAGCTTTTAAAATTATGGGGCAGCAAACATCTTTGTTTGTTCGAAGTGGCAAAAAATCTAGAGCTAGTTATGATTATTATTGGATGGTTATACATTTTACATAGTTTCTCATATTCCATATAAGAGCAGTCAGTTTTACTCATATTAATAAAATGAAACGTACATTATATAAATCTAAAATGTTTCAAAAATATTATTACAGTGTGAAAATAACAAATGTAAAACATTTGTTTTTTCAAATTATCGTTTAAAAAAAGATTTGAACGGAGCACCAGTTTACGTACAAAAAAGAAGCAATGTAAGCTCTATTTTTTTTTATTATTAATTTTTGCAATTTTCTATCCAATTTTGAATTTGAATAAATTTTATATTATTTTATTTATAATTAAATAAATGAAGAAATTTATCGTTAAAATAATCCATTCATAGCGTTCTCACTTAGTGGAAGCTCATTATACGGAAAATGAAGTTACTTTCTCGAAAACAGCGGCAGTTTCTAGATTAATGCTATTAATCAAAGAAAAGCTAAATATTACGTATGTAAGATATAAATTAATTTTAAATTTAAAATAGAAAATATTTTAATTATTATAAAAATGAATATTTAAATATCGAAATTAATAAATGATAATCGTATTTTAGATATAAACTTAAAACATTTAAAGATGGAGAACCGAAGGTACGTTTTCTATACCTGTCTAATAGATTATTTCACATGTATTTTTGTATACAATAAATCATGAATTGCAAGTTCAAGATTTATTATTTTAAAAAAAGTATTTATGAAATTACTTATTTTGATCACCCACAAGACAATTTGAACTCACAGATTTGTGAATTAAAATTGCCTTTTGGGTGGTTTTTGACCTCTGGCGAATGTCGGATTAGAAAGACATAACAAATTTGTTTATTCGTCTATAAACCTCTTTTTAGTGGTTACCAAAATAGCTGATTATATTCACGAATATTGCTAATTTTTAGCTTTATATAAAAACACTTTTTAAAATTTATTGTAGTACAGTGTTTTAATGTTTTAAATTTAAAGATTAGAAATATTTTTTTATTTAAAAATTAACTTTATTATCACGATAAAGTCAAAGAAATAAGAAATAAATTAAATACTGTAAATGAGCTTATTGCTCTTTGTTTGCATGTCTGATATGATTATTATTATTATTTTTAATCTTAAATTTAGTTTTACGTTTATTAATTTCATTTCTCTTTTTAAATTTAGGAATATCTTTATTGGTTTAATGCTATGTTCTCTCCTAAGCATCATTATTCTCCGACAATATCAGCCAGAGAAGTTATCTTCGTTGTTAAAGCTCCCGGAGGCATAGATAAAGCATATGCACTTATAAAACCTTTCACTTTGTTGGTAAGTTTTACTTATATAGTTTATATATTATCAGCGTTAATAATTAATACAACTATCTTGCTATTGTATATATATATGAATATTTATCAGTTCAGCCTGCTTCAAGATAGTTCCACAAACCTAAAACGTTCCATAACCGTCCCAGAATTATACTTTTGAAATAACGTTTTTCCATTTTTTGTTCGATATTAAATTTGCTTGCAACAAAAGAAATTTTTAATATATCTTCTACCTATAATATTTTCTAACAGTTTAAAAATTTTTAAGTTTCTACACCACCGTGAATGCGTTGGGACTCGGTCCTACTCCATATTTTGCATAAGCGACTGAAATTTCCAGTTACGCCACTTATATGGTTACTAATAAATGAGAATGTGTTTATGTATAATCTTCGAGTAAACACACAAGCCTTTGTTACGAACTTTTACAAACTTTTGTTACCCGCTGGTCACATATGGCCCCAGATAGTCTATGTGGCCGTGCCCCGAAGCTTGAGGACGATGTTACTAAAATAATAAAATACAATTTTAAAAAAGCACAAAATAAATTTTTAATATATTGAAAATTCCTTTTCAAGTCAGTGACTAAAAATTTTATTGTTTCATATAAATTTTTATTTTTGGCGAGTTCCTGTCTGAATGATGTGGCAGCATTGTTCCCGTACTATCTATATGAACAATTATTTTTCGTCTTAAAGCAACCGTTAGAGTGACTGTAGCGATACCATGTTTAAATAAAATTGAATACACACCCGCCATTTTCCTTTTAGTCAAGGCAACGAGTTAAAATATTCTAACTCGTTGTGTAAGTGTCCAAAGGAAAGGAAGAATTTTAACTCTTCACTGAGATGGTGCGAGTCAAAATGACTCTACTCAGTTTTTTTTTAATTTTGAAAGTAAATAACAAGACATTTCTTTCTTTAACCCTTTATTTAAAGGGTTAAAGAACAATGCAAAATATACTGTAGCAATAAGTTAAATGCATTTCTAAAAATTATTAATTTTACTTTCTCGGCTGTTATGTATACGTAACAAAGGAAAGCATTGGAATCGTGCCAAATTTGACTTTCAGAGTATTCTGCAAATCTCCACCTCCTGAACCCAAAATAGTCCAAAAAAAAAAAAATGGGAAAATAAATTCCATGTATGTGTGTGTTATCGCACGAAACCTCTGGGGACTAGACAGTAGGACCAGTTCCTTCATCTACAAGGGTGCCATAGAGCCAATGTTAACCTACGGGTGTGAGGTCTGGGGCTACTCAGCCCAAAAGATACACATCAGACGCAAGCTGCTTTCTGCCCAAAGGCAAGCTCTAATTGCAATCACTAAGGCTTATAGAACTGCCCCTACGAACGCCCTCCAAGTGATTGCTGGCCTAACTCCGATCCACCTTCAAATTCTTCAACGGTATGTCAAAAACCTGATAATCAAATATCATGCAAAAGAGCTCTCAACAACGCAGCTCCATAATATAATCAACAGGCTAAACCTGCCAAACGACATCCAGAATCTCATCAGGGACGTGGACGACTATGGTATCGATATAAACAACAGTAACGAACTTACCCACCCATCGGAAACCACAACCATGATCATTCACGACATTCAGGACAGTCCCCCCAAGGGGAAGAACTTCTACACAGACGGTTCCAAAACTGCCAACTCTGTTGGAGCCGCTGTCTACTTCACGGATACCCTCACCCCCAGCCACTGGCAAGCTGTCGCAAGGCTAAGGGACCACTGCTCAATTAACCAAGCAGAATCCCTGGCCATCCTCCGTGCTCTACAACACATAAACAATCATCCCCAAAGGTTTCAACACGGCAAAGTAAACATCATCAGCGACAGCAGGATTGCCTTGTGGCAGGTTAAAAATGAAAACCACAAGCTTCCAATTGTCAACGACAGCCTCAAGATTCTAAAACATTTAAGGGACAACAATATACAAATCTACTTCCACTGGGTCAAGGGCCACTCAGACACTAACGGAAATGATCGGGCTGATGACCTAGCCAAAAAAGCCGCTAACATTACTTCAAAAATCCACTATCAGGCCCTACCACTCACGGCTGTTCTCAGCTCTCTCCGTTCCATTATAATTAACAAATGGCAAAATGAGTGGGACAACAGCACCACGGGTCGCTACACGTACGCCTTCATCCCCAACATCAACCAAAGGCTGAACAATCACGTCTTCCATACCAACCACGGCCTGACCCAGATGCTCACAGCACATGGAAACTTCAGGGCATACCTCAACAGGTTCCACAACAAGGGTAACGCCAAATGCAACTGCGGGATTCCAGAAGACGAAGACCCATTCCACATCATTTTCACTTGTCCGAACTACAACTCTCAGAGGAGACCACTCCGCAATGAAGCAGACTCTGAAGGACTTCTTTGGCCATGCCAACTGAAAGACCTTGTTAACAACAACAAACTCTTCGAAGCCTTCAAGACCTTCGTTTCTAAAACCAAATTAAGCATCTACTTCAACGTGGCAAGTAACACAAATTAACGGACCTTTTTCGGCCTATCAAGGCCGGTCTTCCTCACTCTACTCTAATTTCCTCCAGGTAACCCCATACTGTACTATATACCCCCACCCGCCAATACAAACGGGTGACTGTTGTTCTCTCATGTTTTGTCGGACGGATTTGTAAAGCGCGAACCTCCTACTGCATGTAACCTTATATTTTTGTAATTTTGTATTATTGTATTATTGTTCGCTTAAAAAAAAAACAAACCGGAGTAAGCGCTCACGCGACCCTCTCCTCTTTTCCTAACTTTTCCCCATCCTCACCCCTACTTCCTCCTCTCCCTCTCACCTCTACTCTTCACCAAGGCAATACCTTTTGGTACGCTTTACTATTCAATCACTGTATCACTGTATCACTGTATGTGTGTGTTGGCGTCTATAAGAAACGAAATTTGGCATGATAGCTTGTGTATAAATAGCATTGATGCTATTAAATTTTGGTGGTTAAAGGTTAAAGGGATTGGGCGATAGAGGGGTGTCGTGTGTCATGTGTCTCGAGAGAGGTCGGGAATGATACATGATATTATACGAATAAGATGTTATTCGTTATTAACATTTACAATTTTTTTATAAAACTCATCAATACTCTCAAGATTAAGCTTTTTGCCATTTGATAATAATTAAAAATATAACCAAAATTATACCCAAGTTATAAAGGTTTCTTCTTCCAGTAGTGAGACTAGTGGTATTTATCACGTCTTTCTTAATTATACGCAATTAACAGAGACCGAGATTAAAACAGTCCATTTTATTTCGCCTACTTAACAATGGTAATTTTCCAATCCTTCTTCAGGCTCACGGCTTTAGTGTTGTTGTCTACAACACAAGAAACAAAAGGTTAGTTCGTGCTAATATACTTTTGTTATCCAGAATGATGCATATAGTGCACAATTTGTACACATCCTAATGATTCAGTTTCTAAATATCAGTCTGTTTCACTTACTGTCGTGTTTTCTTGGTCTATTTTTGATAGGTAAATGCACCACTTCTTCCATTTCCCACAATTATTAGCTTCTTATTTCCTCTTAGAAGGGTTTTAACTTCAACAATGTAGTTCATAACATGACAAAGGTCAAAATGTACTTTTTCATTGTATATATTTTCACAGTTGAAACCGAAATTTTCACAAACAAACTATAATAAAAACACAAGAATAATACTTATATTCTACAAAAGAAAAAAATACAGTCCGAAAAAAAATGAACAACGTAATGAGTATGGTACAGATCATACTGACCTGAGTACACTATAAATAAACAATCATATGGCTGAGAGTAAAGCTCTTCAAGACCTGGCTCGTACTTAATCATAAAAATATTGTTATATTGAGTGTTAAGTACTACACTGACCACTTTAAACTCTGATCTTATCTTCTTTATAATAATTAAATAAAATATAGAAAATAGTTAAATTCGAAATAAAACAAATTTATATCACTTATTTGATTGCCTAAATCTCAAATCTATGATCAAACAAAACAATCTAGATTTAGATGAGAAAAATAGATTCTAAAGAGACAAAACTGCGCAACACGTGGTACAGATTTCAATGTTTTGACTTAAAGTAAAATGGCGGTCGCTAGTTCCCGTCGTTGCCACCAAGAACGCTGTATTTAAGGTCACAGTCACTCTATGTAGTATATTCTAGTTCGTTATTTTAAAGACTAATAAGAGTTCATATAAGGCGAGATTAACAATTGTGCATTTAACATCTATATTAAAAACATCATTATCGCAAAAATGACACCCTATATTGATAAAATTGTTTATGCCAGAAGATGCCAAGTTTCTAGTAAAAAAATATTAATTTTTTTTAAAATTTTTCTAACTTTAAATTTTGTTGTAACATTTCATAATAATACGTAGAAATAATAACTTATATGCTAGTATTTTTTTTTAATTTCTGTAAAATTCGTTAAAGAAGAAACAATCGAAAATAATTTGATTAAATGTAAAATTTAATTGAGTTATTTTCGAATATTCACGAAAGATTTTTTTTTTGTTGTTGATCTTTTGTCTACGGCCCGCAAACTCTCTAAAACTATATTTGGTGGCCCGTGAGTTTGATACCATTGGTATACGCTTATTTAAAATAATCGTTCATAGTCAGAACACAAAAACTTTTAATATTTTTCCTATACTTTATAATTAAAAACATTCTCATATTTGGCCCACCAGTGGCCAACGGTTCCGTTTCCTGAACACTGGGAGTTCGATCGTGGGTTCGCGCCTCATCCGGACAGACAGGCTACGTGGAATTTTGCGGGTTTTCTGCACGTCTGTAATTAGGGCCAGTTACTCTTAAAAAAGACCTCACGGAAGGCATCCCTCCTAGACAGATCGCCCAAGTGTTGTATTGCCATAACTTAACAAAACAAACAAACAAACATTTTCATATTTATATTGTTCCATAGAAACAGTGTCCGAGACCTGATCTTGATGTCTTATGTCATTGGCCCATTAAGTATCTTTTATCTGCTCTTAATAGTAGTCACGCCATTGAATCAATGCAGCAAGACTACGAATCACATCCAATATTTCGTAGAATCTCGCTGCATATTCATAGAAATCTATTGAAATGTAATATTTATTTATACTGTATATTATTATCTACTAAACATAATGCTACTAATTTTTTTTTAGTTCTGAATAATAAAATATTTTTACATTTTGTTTTCAATGATAAAAAGATAAAAAGAATTATTCTATTATTTCACAATAATAGAATATTTTCAAACAATAGATTTTTAGTTTTACAATGAAGTCTAGGTCTAGTTAAAGGATGTATTGACAATCATTGTCGATGTTGTTGACAAAATAAAATTAATGTTTTATTAATTCCGAATTCATTTTTAACTCTCGTGTAGAGTGAATTTTGAATGCAACGAAAACTATTGTACGTATATAAAAATCTAGAAATAAATTTTAAATTAGAAAATATGTTCAAAATTATAAGCCTATATATCTATTTGCTATTGTATTCGAAAATAAATATTATTTTTATTTAAATAAATTTAATGAGATAATATTTTGTTAAAAAGATTTATACACAATAATAGACGAGTATTATTAATAGATAAAAAATAATCAGCGAGTTACAATATATCTCATGACTCGATCAAATTAAAGTTACTGAGGTAATTGGGATTCAACTGACAGAATTCTGTTACTGGAAAATTTCAATCTAACTCGGAAGTACTTAGTTGGCTGATAAGAAATGAATGAAAAACATCAACGAATCACTCTAAACTTTTCTTTTATTCAAACCTCAACTCCTTTTCGAATACACGAATTTAACTAAATTTGAATCCAAACAAATCAAAATAGTGTTTTGAATATACAAAATAAAACATTTAGACTAGGGTTTCTCATTTCCCGGTGTTTTGCTTGTCCCGGGATTTCGGGAAAAAAGTGAACTGTTTCCCGGGATCCCGGGAAATCCCGAGATAAAATTATTTTTAAGATATACAAAATCAAATGATATAATTATTTTTTATTTTTTAAAATAAATTAATACGTTCTGCAACCTACAAAATCATATTAATAATGCTGCGTAAGATATATATATATATATATATATATTAAAAATTACCTTTGAATTACGTAAAAATGTTCACAAATAGAAAAAAATTTATTAAACTTTGCTAGAAACTGCATACAACAAAAACAATAAAAATGCTTTGAATTGAGTTGAAAATTAAAAAAAAAAATAAACTTAGATCAAACTTCTAAGGTAGAAGGTAATTTTTGTTTTTTAAATAAAACATAATACAAAATATTATTGTAAATTTTTATAATAGGATTTTAAAAAGCAAAGATGGTCAATACTCCGATCACTCAATCTGATTCATATTTCAGTAATGAAAAGTCCCGCTACCGACAATGCCCTTACCGATTCAATTGATGTGAGTGGAATCGTGTTTAATGCATTTAAGAGAACACGGATGTTATGTGTTTTTCACCCATAGCCTGGAAGATTTCTAGTTCGTTTTCGAGATTGTAGTACTTCTAACTTGAAGTTACGCCACTAAATCTGACAATTCTATCTGGGTGCGATGAGTGTATAGTATATTAAAAATAAAATTGATAGTACTGATACCAAATAATATAAATCTCATAATATTCCTTAGCTGTTTTGAACGTAATATATAGAAAACATAAAGAATTAAAGATATATTATAAAAGTCCATTGGTGTCACTTACTTATTGACACAAAATCGCCGAAAGTGATTAGAGACAGAATCTATAGTTATATTTATGAATTTATATAATTATAATGAATTGATTATACAAATTAATTTTATTATAGGTGTGGTTCATAATAGTCCTAAGTTTGTTCCTTTTAACTCCGATTATTAAAGGAATCCTAAAAGCAGGAGAAAAACTATCGAAGAAACCAACACCAAATCTTCTCAAGATATTTTGGTTTCTTTTACGATGTATTTTAATGCAACGTAAGAACTTTAAATTTTAAAACATAGTTTTATAATATTTAATTTAATCTATTTACAAAAGTGCTATTGTTTGATTATATTTAACTTATTGTCGTAATAACCTTTGTAGATGAAAGTGTAAGCAGGTTTCCGGGATGTGCACCAAAAGTTGTATTGATACTTTGGATCGTCGCAACTTTTATATTGACTTCTTCTTATGGCGGAGCTATTCTTTCATATCTTTCAATTCCAGGCAGCAAATCAGTTATATCCACATATGCACAACTAGCTAGAGCCATACAGAAAGGAACTTATACATGTGGTACTGTCCAAACATACAGCATTCGAGATATTATAATGGTAAAAATAGTTTCAAGTGTTAAGTTGGAAAATAATAATTCGAAATAAAATTTCGAATTATTATTTTACAACTTTAATGCAAATTAGTCCTTAAAATTTTTCAGAATTCTAATGGGGAATTAGAACAGATTTTCAGAGAATCCATGTTAAGTGTGGAAGAAAATATAGTTCAAAATCAGATGGATGCAATAGAAAATGTATTAAAAAGAAATTATGCTTTTTTCTCTTACGATACTTATATTAAACCTATAATAATGGAACTTGGAGAAGAAAAGTTTTCAATATCGAAAGATTCACTCTTGACAAGTTATTCAGCCTGCATTTTTCACAACAATTTTCCTTTCAGAAAGGAATTCCAAAATTTGTAAGTATTTATAAGTTTTAGAACAACAAATTTTTATATTAGTATTTTCAGGGCGATCGAGAGGAGGAGAGCTGAGAATTTTCCCTGAGCTCAGAGAAAACGTAGGGTCCATAGTGGTTCTTACACCTATAAATTAATGTTATTTTTATTAACAAAAATATGATTTTTTAAGACTGAATTTTATTAATATTAATATATTTTATTGACAAAAAAAAACATTCTACGTATTTCATTTATTTATTTTTTTAAATTAGCAAAAGGAACCCGCTCTATCCCCGTGCTCCATACAAGCTCTCGACAGCCCTGAGCATTTTAATGTTTACATATTACTCATATAATGTTATCACTTTACAGAATGACTCGAATACAACAAACAGGTATAATTCCAAAATTTTACGAAGATGAATTTTATAGAATTAAAACAAAAAGAGAAAAATTTGATCACGAAATTGATTTCGAGCCCCTTAATTTATATACGCTAAAAGCGCCATTCCTTATATTGTCTATCGGTTACGGAATTTCCATTCTTACATTAATCGCAGAAATCACATTCAAACGCATTAAAAAGTTTACACACGTTTAGATCTTCTACGACATAAAAAGTCATTTTAATGTTAATTTAATAGACTACTAAAAGAAAATTAAACAGTAAAGATTGCATTAGAGTAGATAAATACACTTTTTCACCGACCAGTTACACAAATGTGTCCAAAGTATTGAAAAAAATTAAAATATATATACTGTCTATATAATAATTTTCAGATTAAATCATTCATAAGAAAATATTTTCTCTTATTTTATTTTTATTGCTTCACATTGCCTTTTAAAATAGTCATCTTCAACGTTTAGTATGTTTATTATATTTTATTACGTAAAGCATGAAGAAGCATTAAGTAAATACAGTACAATATTTATGATATAAAAATAAAATATTTTGAAAAATTTTCAGCATTAAAAAATTCTAGATATGAAATTTTATAAACAGAAAACATGGGAAGATGTTATCCACATATAACTGATTCTTTATCCTATTTATTTTCTCTGGTTTTCCACTCAAGAATCCAACTCGAGAAATAGCTGAAAGATTAAATAATATTTTAATTATCGACTTTATTATATTCTAAATCAATCAGTTTGATATTTATGCATTATTTAATATAATGCATAAATATATTATTTATATTAAATAATTCTTGGAAAAAAAAGAAAACTTAAAGCCATTGAAATTATGATTTCTCTCCATATATTTTATAAATTTTTAAGTGTTATAGAACGTTCACATTCGTCTTTCGTGTTTGTATTCATATTATCTCACGCATTCTATTATTATTGTTATTATTATAAATAATGTATTCTAGTTTTCATTTGTGTATTTGCTACAGGATCTATAAACAATAAACTTATAAAATAATAGTATTTATGTCACTGATCTCGTCAAACAAGGATATTTGTTATAAAAAATAATTATTATTTTACTATATTTTCACGTGAGCTATAATGTTTTAAAAAACTAATTATTTTTATTTGTATTTAATACTCACAGCTTATAATAGTTTTATTTGTTTGAAATATTTCAAAAGATCACTTTTTGACAGTGAAAATTCTACTCTGCATACTTCTTGTAACTCGGCAAATATTTATAATTAAAGGGTTAACCTTTGAAAAATGATTAAAAATATGCTGTTTTGATCATTTTTAAGTCTCAATGCTGAAAGAAAGTACTAAGAAATATCAAATGAATGTTATATTTATGATCTGAATTTTTGTCTATTATTAACTGAACTTAATCTGTAATATAATTGATAAGAGTGAAAATAAAATATTTTTTAAGAGATATTGAAAACTATTTATTAATCNAAAAAAAAAAATATATGTTGTTGTATGAAATATCTGATGATGTGCACTGATTAATGTTGACAGACATCAAAATCATCAAAAAACAATATGGCGTCGTCATGGTAACTTAATCCGCTGTTTGCTAATAGATCGCTTACGCCATCTATTAGCAAACAGCGGATTTAAGCTTATACACCTGGTATATATATAGATATAGACACATACCGCAAATTATTAATACTAGTAATCCCAGAAATAGCAAAACAAGCCACTGCCATGTTATCATTTACTACAAGATACACACCAAAACTTTAACAACACATCGATTTTTTATTTTAAACAACTCTTTTATGATAAACTGTTCAAAATAAGTTGAATTTTTGGTAATCTTATCTTTAGTAGCTACAAGATCCACTTCTATACATTTATTAATCAACGAGGCACAAACTTAATTTTTTTTTGTTTATATCACTATAATCATTTTATTTAATTTGTTATAAGCAAGGAAAAATACATTATAGTTCTATAAATGTAGCAAAATAGTCACAAGACCAATGTCTTCAATCTGACATCTTTAAACATGTGTGGAAAAAAAATACAAGACAGTTATTTGTACAACACCAATGAGAGGTAATAGAATATTAAGAGGAAATGGGCAGATAGACTAATGACAGTCTACCTGTAACAACTTGTCTATCATCTTGCTTGAAAACAAGTTCCATTATCAAAATTATTATTATCCAACTTTTATATTGAATTAAATTAGTAAATTTTTAATCTGGAATGCAGGCACCTCCGAAAGGAGTGCAAGAGACTTTTGGTGTTGTGAAACTGTATTAGAGATGTTCAAATATATATATATATACGCTAATTATTAACAAAAATAAGATTATGGTGTTTATAATAAAACATTTCTCGAAAAACTGTCATTATTTACTTTAATACAGTCTTAAAACTCATTCATATAGCTACTAGGACAATTTTGATTCATATTTTCTATTTTCATTTATGGTCAGACGTTTAATTATTAGAAAAAACTTTTGTCGAAAGAAAGATTTGGATTTGAAATCCTTCGGATTTTGTGATTCAGCCATAAACATTTTTGTAAGTTCGTTTTGCATTTATTATTATCTCAGTCAATTCTGCTGCGATTACTTACAGTAAAATTGATGGACATATTGGCTTACTTATAATAAGCCAAAATCAGGACTGATGGTAGAGCCTATGTCCCTCGTATCGATCCAGTCCAATAAAATTATTCTAGCAAAGACTGAATGAAAGAAATTTGTCTGTTTATTTTATTTATTGTTCCAGAATAATGCCGAAGTATACTAATGATTGCTAAAGTGATCAATTATATTAAAATTATAAAAAGAAGTTACTTTTACTTTATCCTTTTAGAAAGTATTGGCTAAACAAATTACTTTTCCGGCTATTATATATAACAGAAGGAAAGTTGGTCAAAAAATGATCCTCTAAGATTTTTACATTTTTGAACTTTTGGAACTCGAAACTCCGACAAATGCAAAAAAAAAAAAAAGGGAGTTTTTGTGTGTGGAGGACACGATTTTGTTCGCCCACTTTGAAACTTAATAATTCGTGTTTTGTAAAAAATTTCTGAAATTTTGCAGAGATTTGTATATTAAGGGATTGGTACTATTAAATTTTGGTGGTTAAAGTTCAAGGGGTGGGAAGATAGAGGAAGATCCCTCGTCATATCTCGAGTGGGGTCAGACTTAATAAAGATTTTATCCGTTATTAGTACTGTATTTGCAATTTTTTTTTAAAACTTATCTCTATCCCAAAATTAAGCATTTTGCCATATATAATACCATATAATAATTAATAATACAAGTTTTTTAATAAAATCTCATAACACATGGTGCCACATGCAATTTTAAATTTTTTGCTGGGAAAATAGAGAGGTTGAGGTGCACGTTTTAAACGTGTAAACGTGTACGTGTGACGTTCGGCGCCGCTTTCCCGTAAGCCTAAAAGTTTGACGATGGTGTTTGGAATGTCGAGCGTGATTCCACCGACTATCCAAACACCATTGTCAAACTTTTAGGCTTACGGGAAAGCGGCGCCGAACGTCACACGTACACGTTTACACGTTTAAAACGTGCGCCTCAACCTCTCTAGTTACGCAGCTCATTGCTGGATTTTTACTTTCCCTGCTGTTATATATAACAGTGGGAAAATGTGGCGATCGTCAAAAAATGATTTCCGAGTTTTTTTTCTTTTATAATTTTAATTAATTAAACTAACTTTATACTAAGAACAGATCTCAGTTTGATATTTAAAAATAATGTTTAGAACAGTGGTGCCCAAACTGCGGTCCCCGGCTCACGTTAATTCAGCCCGCTAATATACCTGACATCTCACTTATAAATGATCGAGGTAGGCCTATTTGTGATACATGTAGAATATACAAAATACTCGTGGCTAACTATGACTTATACACAATTTGATCCTAATCGAAAAGTTTAAACACAACTTGGTTTAGACTTGTTGATTTGTAATTTAAAGGTTAAGCTTTTATTTATCTTTCTTGGCAATAGGAAAACACTCTGTGGCAATAGGATGAGTCCAAATGACTCACCCAATACCAGGCCGACAATGTAAATGTTCTACTGGCTTTTTCAGATTTAAATATCACAGAAAATATCTGGCACCTTTTATAGGTGCAGCGATATCAAGATCAACAGTACGACATTCACTAGAAACTTGTTAATGATATTAATTGGTTTTCAATTAAATAACACAACGTTGTTATCAAGGTTCTTTGTAAACGGTTATTTCAAGTGGTAAAAAGCAAAAAGTCAGATACAGTGAAAACTCTGATCTATATTTCGATCTTTGGTTTGTGTGCTTGATTGTGGCAAAAATTGTCAAAATAGTAACTTTAAAAAACAAAAAAACTGTATAACGGAGTCTCACATCTGCACTGTCTCTCATTTCATACCTTTACATTTTCAAACATCTACACTAAAGACTATTAAAAGCGAAACGCTAAATTTGATAGACATTACTCTTATTATACAAATTATCTGTTAAAACATTCTAATACTCTACATTTATTACAGCATCTCTAAATTGAAACTGCTATTTTTATTTACTTAATTGGCCTGTGAGTGGTACACAGAGCATGATTTAATCCTTTTACCTCTGCAGGTACAGATTAGAATGCCGCCTTTTCTGACGTAAACGTAAATACTTATGTTCTGTAATTAAAATTCAAGTTAGCGTCAGAATGAGCTAAAATTGAACAGAATGGAAAGATTATCAAAACTATAAAGGCCATCTGTGGCCATTCAGTGAACAAGTCTGCGTCACGGGAATTTCACGTAATTCTGTCTAGATCAAAAATCCAGACAGAATACCAGCAGAATACGACTACCTACTTTCTGGTCATCAATCCATTATTTATATATATATACGTAAATAATGGATTGATGGCTCATCTAACTTACATTTCGCCCAACCATTGTTTCTAGAAAAATATCAAACTTTAATATCAATGTTATAAAAATAATACGTTTTTTCAAGGGGACTGAGAAAAATTCGATGAAAATTTTTTTCTTATTTTTTCATATATTTTGGCCGGGCAATGCGCGGTATGCACAGCTAATCTTATATATATATATATATAGACATGGGCGATCTGAGAGAAGGATGCCTTCCTGGAAGGTATTCATCTTGACCCTTATTTAGTTGTTAGACACGTAAAGAAAACCCGGAAAATTACACGTAGCCAACCTGTTGATGAGGCACAAACCCTCGACCAGTATTCGGTGATTTTTATCCACTCGGCCCCTGGTTGTCATACTAAAACTTGTTTCTGACTTAAAAATGTCTTCTAAAAAATTTAAGCCCGAAAGATATAAAAAATTCTTAGAAAATTAATTATTGAGAAAGTCATTCATTTTATTTAATAT